GTCATCTATATAACGATATATATATATATATATATATATGTGTGTGTGTGTGTGTGTATGTGTGTGTGTGTGTGTGTGTTATGTTGGTGTTGGTTAAAGGGTTAGGGATTACTAGTTAACACATAAAACTGTTTATTTTAGCAATAACTAATAAAATGGGGACAAAACAATAATGATACTAAAACATTTAACCACGCGTCGTTGCTTAAATGGCTAAGTTTGTAATTTTGAAAAGGTATTCTTTCTCCGTCGTCGAGGGTCTCTCATGCTTGCCACTCGCCTCCTGCCGAAGCCAGTAGGGTTACGTGTCAGGATTCTGAGTAGATTCTGAAATGATTTCCGAGACTCAAAGTTCTCACTTTGGCGTGATGTGGAGGCTGGGAGAATTTAGTGTCAGCTCAGATGTCGCCCTCGTAACTTCATCATGCTTGAAAATAACCAGAGACACCGCCAATAGCCTTCTTATTGTTTCAGAGTATGACGTAAAATACAATGTATCAATCAATATACCTAAAAAAATTTTGCTGCAAAAGAATTAAAAGTTTAAAAAAAATATTCAAAACATATTTGAAGAATTTTTTTTTTTTTTTTAATCTCTTCACAACAAAAAAAGTAAAGAAAGAAGAAAAAAACCATAATATCTGGATAGCAAATTTCGAGTAAATTATCTTTCTTTAATTTTTAGTTTTAAATAAAGTTTTTAAAAAATTAGAATGTTTTTGCTCACAGTAATTAGAACACTTATATTTGCTTAAGTATACATATAATTGGTAGGGAGATGTTTACATAACCTGTAATTATATATGAATTATTTTAGTTTAAAAAACAAAAGAGAGTGCATTTATTCACAGACTTTGAAAGTTTCTTAAATTTTTGGAGTATTTACCTTTTAATTGGATCGAAAAAATAGCAAAGGAATTTTATATGACGTTAAGTATAAAAATCTCTACAAGAAAATGTAACCTCATTTAAATAAAAAAAAGACTTAAAATCTTGTTTCAACATCAAGTAAGTTTGTAAGCAGAAGAGAAAATATTTTTTTTAAATTGCACTCAAACCATTTTTTTTAAAAAAAAAATAAAAAAAGATTTTGTCACAAAACAATATGTTAAATAAAAAATAAATTTCTTTAAACCCTTAAGTGGTCAATTTTTTTGCTCAAAATGCTCCGACAAAGAGCACGTTTTTAATGCATGTAGCTAAGCAGCAAGCTTAATAGAATACGAAAACGGAAGAATTTTATTTTAATTTTGAATTTTAAAGTTTTCATACCATTTTTTATTTCATAATTGTGGAGCATAAAAAATCCTAAATGTTTGCTTTTTATAAGTAGATTTTGCATGCTATAAAGAATCTTTCATGTACCTTAAAAGAATTTCTCTCGTGCTTATAAAACAATTTAATGTCCGTACCTCTTTTTCAAATGGTTAAGGATTTTATGTTTGGGTGCATTTATATACATAGATATATATGTACACAGATACAAAATTCTATATGCATATATATAGAATCATGGTGTAATACTATATAAGTCTTACATTGCAATGGAGATAGAGAAAATAGCTGCATTTTTGGATTATCCTTCCATTTTGAATTCTTCTCAAGACACAAATAGTACATTGCCTTACCAATCCCTGTTCTTTATCGAATGTTTTCAAGAATCTAAATTCCTTTCTTCAATGAAAAATTCCCGCCTTCACCACAAAGAAAATCTTGGATAAGAAGTATTTCATACCCTGGATAAAATGCATCTCTTAAAAGCACTAGCACTAATGATGATGATGATGTGTCGTATCCATAACAGAACCAAATCAGACAGTACCATGGACCCAGATGACTGATCTGGCAATCTGTTCAATATTATCCACATAGAGGTCTGTTGACGAAAACAGAACCCCTATTTCTTGTAGGGAAGCAAGAATAGAGAGAGAGATAGACAGTATAAAATATGAGCTGGTGTTAGCTCTGTATATAAACAGTTATCACATATCCTGTAAATTCTTCTACCGTCCCTGTCAATCTTCTTTCCTCTGGGATGACCTGTTCTTAGCCTAGCAATAGTCTTTGTTATAAGGCGGTCTCCATTTACATTACAGATTTGAGGCTTTACAGGAATTGACTTCTCTCTCAAATGGAAATTTGAGACAGCATTTGCATCTAATAAGGTAACGTTGACATATTTGTCATTATTATGATTTTGAGCTTCTTTCGCCAATTTAAACGCATTTTTATTGCCTGTAATGTCAACATGTGCTGGTAACTAATTGAGAAAGCCAAATTTATTTAACTCCTATAACCCTTTATCTACCGACGTTACCGACGTACAACTCAAAATTAAAATTACATAGAACAACCAATTTTACGAATATTCTGACGATACTTGGCAGGAATGTTCGTTGAAATCTACTCTTCCAAGATATATGGCAGCACAGGTTCTATGATGGGTATTTTAGAGGCGAAGGCGAATAGTTTTATAGTAGAAATTGCCTTATCAGCGAATTGCGAAGATTATCATTTTTGTCCCGAAAAAATAGTTAATGTCAAAATTTAAATGTCTTATTTTTTTGTATGTTAATGAGGACCTTATTAAACGATTTGACTATTTATTTTAAGTGAACAGTGTACGCAATTAGTTTTACAGTTGAATATCTTCAATTAATTAATTAGCTCTAACAGACTAAATTTCCCAAAGTTGAGTATTTTGTTTATGTATATCCTTTAATTTTCAGTGTAGCAATCCCCCCAAAATATTTCATGAAATTGCATTAATCCATGAGCCTCTATTTAGAATTGCCTGGAGGGGTGCTTTTGAGTCACAAAAGATGACGAGACCTTTAACCTGTTCTAGAATAGGGGGAGTCTCATACAAATCAAGACTAGCACCAATAATATAACTATAAAAATTAAAAATATCATCAAATCAAAAATAGATAGAAGAAAATATCCATAGCTGTACAGAGTACGAACAAACCGGTTTTGGCCAGTTTTCGGTAGCCTCTGCAGTGTACGTACAAACCAATTAAGAGGTTAAATGCACATGTCGAGGATCTAAATACTCACGTTGGAGTAAAAATTTATAAAGTAGGCAATAAATAATCTTAATGTTACTGATTTATCCCTTTTATGATATTTTTGAATATTTTGACTCCTTCTGATTATGCCATTGAAACTCCCCTAAACATTGCCACAATATGGGCATTCACTTTTTTAGTTAATAATGTTCGAAAAGTGTGATTGCTTGCGTTTTCATCCAAGTTTCGCGTATTTTTTTTTAACTAAAATTATATTTGTGAGACTTCCAACTAAAATTACAATGAATCCAACAAGTATAAAAGTATTAAATTAATGGTCAGAGATAAATTATTCGTATTGAAAACAAGGGTATCTTTTTATTTGAATCACGAGTCTTGTGAGTTATATTTATAATAGAACTGATTGTTTATGAACGTCACAATTTACAACAACATGAGAACATCGGCAATTGACTATGTAATTTTTAACCATGGTCAAGTAATGAGGAGGATACCTGAGCTGGCACTCCATTCTTCATGCTTCCACATCACAACAATGGAAGGACTTTGAGCCAAGACAGATTTAACATACATCAACCCTTTTACACTGTGGGTCATTAGTAGCAATGGGAATCGCGAGCTCTTAACTCGACAGTTACAACCCCGTTCACGAGTCTGCAGGCACATTATATTCGTAAAAAAAATCACAGCTAAATAAATAGATCATTCTTTCATTGTGATGTTATTATCTAAAAAGTCAACATGAATACCGTTTTTTCTTCCCCTTTACTTTATTTTTCTTGGATTGTCAAGAAGTGCAGTTGGTTGTGCATATGAGAAATGTTAATGCAGTGGCGAAACACAAGTTTTTTGCCATTTTTGTTGGAAACAAAACTCTAGCGGGGCTCTCTTACACTCATCGGTGGTCTACCACTAACTGACAGCTTGGGGAGGAATTCACTTCAGCATTAAAAATGTTTGCATATATTAATCATTATACGCTTTCCCCGTTCCATTTGCTTACTCACGAAAAGCTATGGCTAAATATCTTTTAACATAGCTCTCTATACCCAGTGTATCTTAAAATTGTGTCATCCATTTTATGTTACTCTAATGTTCCCCAACAACTTACATTCTACATTGTCCGTATACAAAGTATATTGGATGAATATTTAGGGCGTCTTGGAATAGTTTTAATCTTTTTCAAATACATTTATTCTGCATAGTTATCATAATGACTCAAAAATGTAAATGAGTCATTTGATTTAGGAAGAAAAAATCAAAATTAAAATCTTCATTGATGATTAAACTTAATTGCAAAGGGTTGTCTAGTAATCTCGGACTAGAATTTCACAATGAAGTGTTATCTGAGATTCGGAATGAATGCGTAATGGAAGAACCGTTGGACAAAAACGAAAATGCAGGCTGTTCAAAATGACAAATGAAGTAATCGCATACCTGTTGTTTGTTAGAGGCAGGCAGATAATGGAGAAAGAGTTGAAAGAGTAAGATAAATTGTTTTAAGAAGAAAAGATTGATATTATAGGAGAAACTATTATTACTGATCTTGAGTGCAAGCAATTGCGTTAAAGCGAAGCCATTCAAGGAGAATATTTCAAGTAAATTATCAGCTTTACAAAGTTGCAAAATGCAACTTTGTCAAAGATATTGCAGCTACTTATAGATTAATATATGGATGTAAAATGACATACATATGTTTTTTTTTCAATTTTTAGTTCGCCATTCTCCCTTTATACATATATATATATATATATATATATCTTACTCAAATTTTCAATCGTTAATAAAATACTCTTTATTCATCCACCCGGGTTCAAATACATTTTTTTAAACTTGTAGTGGATCATACTTGATGTTAATACAATTTTTTTAAAATATTAATTCATTAATTAAATTAAGTAATGAATAAACAGTAACAAACAAAAGTAATAGTTCAACGCCCTATATAAAAGGAAAATCGCTCTTTGTCTCCTTGTAACGCAATGAATAGCGCGTTGGACTTCCAGTCCAAAGATCGTGGGTTCAAATCCCACCTAGGATGGCCTAATTTCTAAGAATGTGATTTCCTTTTACTATTCTATTTTATTGGAATGTTTCAATTTAATGAATGAAAAAATGGTAACAAACAAAGTAATAGTCCAACATCCTATATAGAAAGGAAAATGGAAAATCGCTTTCTATTTTGCACTTAATAGTGTGATTCTGTCATACGTATATACATATTTACATTAACTGTAATTACTTAATAAAAAGTAGCTAAAATAAAATTTTTCTTTGTTGACCTAAGTAGGAATTGACTTAAAAGAATTTTTTTTTACTACTTGTTATAAATGTTTTAAGAATATATATATATATATATATATATATATATATATATATATTTTAAAAAATATATATATATATATATATATTTTTTTTTTTTTTTTTTTAAAAGTTTTTATTTAGATAAAAATATAATGTGAACAGAATATTTTTTTATTTTTACAAGCAATGTCTGTTTTTAAAACTGTTGTAGAAACTATTTTAATTGAAATATTTCTTTTCAAAAAAAAATTATTACGTTGCTAATCATTACCAAAACCTAACTTATATTTCCTTTTAACTAAAACTGTCGCTTGCTATTTCCCTGCTTCAGTTTTAATAATGTAATTGAATTTGTTCTGTACTAATCAGTATTGTAGTTAAATTGGTATGTTTAAAAACGATATATATAGGTAGTCATTTTTCTTTAAAAAAATTTTTGTGAAGGAATTATGAGTAACTTTGAATTGAAAATATATTTAAACTTTGTTTTAACGTTTTATTTTCATTAAAATTAAAAAAAACCTGCGCATTCTTTTTTATTTATATTTTTCAGTACTCAAGTCTAAATTTTAATTAAATAAGTAAAAAATTGAGAAAGTTTTAGTTAAATAACCTGCTTTAAAACATAAACAGAAAATATTAGATTATTTTTCCATGAACAAACCTTTTTTAGAATAGAAAAATATTCCGAAAGTTTTGCGCCTTGGAATTGAAAAAAATTTCTTTTAGCTTTAAGGTAATGAAATATTTCTTCCGTTTTAGTATCAAACTAAAAACAGTATTTTATAAAAAAATTTTAATAAAAATTTTGAAATGTGTTACTTACATTTTTATAATAAGAAATACTTATTTATAAATAACAAAGATTTTTTAATCAATGATATTTATTTTTATGGAATTTTTCGTCTTAATCTTATATCGAAATAATTTGCGTTCAAATTGCTTTTAAATTTTTAACTCGGACTATATAAAATAAAAACAGGGAATTTGTGAAAAGTGTAAATGCAAGTTGTATTTTCTAATTTTCATTTCTTACAAATAAAACTTTTTGCGTACGTAGAATTTTTGTAATATAACTTTAAAAATGTCTTTATAATTTAAAATTGTTAACTAACAAGTTAATAATTAAAATTGTTAATTAATCATATGTGAGAGAGACAAAATTAAAGAAGACAAAATTTGATTTCTTTTGTGCATTGCCCATTGTAATATGCATGTTACAAGACCACTTTTCAAATATCTGCTTTTGCCAATAATGAGCTTGGTTTTCAAAAATACGTTAGAATATTAATACATATTTTTGATAATTCTTATAGGGTTAAAGTAAAATTGAAACAAAAACTAAGCATATTTCTTAGTAATCCAGTATAAATTTATATGTAATTAAGAACATACGAAAGAATTGAAAAATAATCATATTGTTAAGAATTTTGTTACCGTTTTTCACTAGAAGTTTCTTCGACATTTAACGTGCTTTTTGGCATAATTTTAGGTCAAACGACTTTTCTGCTAGAAATTTTTGTATAAGATAATGGATTTGGTGAAACTTAATTACAAAGGATGCCAATTTAATGATCTTATAACCAAAATATAATCGTTGTGGCATAATTATTTTCGAGAAAAATTTAATTCGTTTGTTGTGCGTACGAAATATATTGCTTTAGGGGTTTTGTAGAATTTTGAATTCACTTTTTAAAAATTGTCTTAGAATTTGCTTTATAGAAACCTTGTATATACACTGTTGTGTCTCGTGAAATCTAATTTCTCTATTCTTTGGCTTTGGCATTCTCAGTTTTAGAACTTTTTCACTTTTATTTTATTATAATATATATATATATATATATATATATATATATATATATAATCTTTGATGAATAAAATTGTTCTTTGCAAAATTTCTTTGCCTTAAGGCCTATTTTTTTCCTCATTTCGTAATACAGATTCAAATTATCCATAAATAATCAGTAGCTGTTTCAAATCATTAAAACCTCATAAATTGTTAAATTCTCCATTAAGTTTCACTCATCGAATTGTTCCTTTAAAAATATTGTTAAATTATATATTATTTGTTCAGGTAAAAATGCAGTATATGTAAAAAAAATCGTTTGAGAAATAATCTCTGCTAATTTTGCTTTCTATATTGCCAATTAAAATTTTCTTTCTATCACATGATCTATATAACTGAGAAAATTATTACTATGTAATGAAGAAAGCTCTTTATTCTTTTTTTAATCAACGTCTTCTAACAAAATTTCAGAATAAAAATTACTTACTTTGTTCAGTTTTAATGTGATTATTTTTGGAAAGAGTACATCAATCATTCTGCAAGATTTTCTTCTGCGGATTAGTGAGGTTTTATAATACAAAATAAAAGAAAGCATACTGATCGAGTGATTACTATTAATAATTTATTTATTCTTAAAAGAACCTTTTGTTCTGAATCGGTTTTTATAACTTAATAGTTCATAATTTTGAATTATTATATTGAATAAATTTCGTGGTTTTATTGTTATATAACTTTTATTTTAACTTTATTTCATATTATAAGAATACCACAATTATATCTCAAGAAGTAAAGTATATAAAAATAGGAAATAACATAAAAATATACATAATATGTTTACTTATATGAAGTCAATAATATTTTTACAGTATAACTTAAGTATCTTTCTATTTTGAATAATAATCTTATTCGATAGAATAATTTGGAATAAAAGTCGTAGAAGCTGCAGAACGTTCTAGCTTATGTACATACATAAAAATAAAATTAGTGTAAATAAAATTAACCAAACAACTGACGAGTTCAGTTGTGAAAAGGATAGCAGGTGGAAAATAGTGGGCTATGTCAGAAGGTGCACGAAATTATACGCAATAAAAAAAGTACGTTTCTGTTAATTTTTATTTTAATTAAGAGAAAACTACTTCGGTATGTTTACTTATTGCTTTCAAATTAAAGGGTTAAAATAAATAGAAAATGTATTCATTAATTTGATAGTAAATAAAATGTGTATTCTTTTTGTTTCCTAAATGAAGATAAGAAATTTATTACCAAGATTAGATTACTTTGAATTTTTTTTATAAATTTTTGTATTGTTATAATATTCTTGCAAATTTTATTTTATTTGGTTAATTTCATTTTTTGCAAAATAAAGCTTAAGATTTTATTTCGTTTGAAATAAATAATTATCTTATATAAGAGGCAGAGATGCAAGTATCTGAGATGTGGTTGAATTAATTATTAGAAATATTCTTTTTTCATATGCTTCCTTTTGAAAATACGATGTAGCAAAACCTTAGTATCAAGACAAATCAATTGTAATTAAATATATAATAGTATATTATTAAAAACTGGAATTTTTATGATTTAAAATTATGCTGATTTATATTATTAAAGTGTTAGTTATTTAATACTTGTTTAAATGAATCTGGGGAAAAAAGATCACATACATTTTATATTAAATGGTTTTGAATAAATAGTATTTCTTAGAAATATAACATCTTTGAGTAAATAGTAATAGAGTAACCGTAAATAATACTTAAACAGTTGATAAAATAACACTGAGATGCATTTTTCAAGTGTAATTTGCCATCTTAAAGAATGCCAACAATACTGTTCATTACAAATAAAAACAAATTCGAAAATATATGTTATAATAAAAAGTAGAAAATTACCTTATGTTAGATATACTGGCTTCCAGAGGTCTTAAACTCGATTTTATTTATTCTTATAAATGCGGTTATCTCTGCATAAATTAAAGAGCAAAATAATATGTCTTTGCATCGTTTTGTATTTCTGGATTTTTGCCCAACTTTTTATCTTTCCAAACAATACGAACTCTTTAAATTTATTTGTGATTACACTTAATTTTGCATTCATTCAACTGAACAGAAATGCAAGTTAAATCTAATAAATACGCTGTATTTCAGAAATAAACCCTTTCGTGTAAAAATTGTTATTTGAGAAAAAATTAACTTTCCAATCTATAATATTGCTAAGTTATAAGTATATGTATAATGAAAGTTTTAGTCTCCTAAAATCGTTTTCTGGAGTTTTTCTAAACTTACGCTTTCTTAATATGTATACTGCATTAAGAAAGGTAACATAATTATTTTTTGATTTCTTGCTTTTTCTAGTAAAATTTTATTTTGAAAGTAATGAAGCAAATTATGTTTAATAGATACGAGTTAATCTTACATTTCTACAAAAAATATTTCATCGTTTCTTTAAAGGAATTATTTGTGCGCACGGAAATCATTCTAAAAGTAGTAATCTTGTTTTTCAAATTAAATTTAATAATATAAAAGTGAATGAAACAAAATTTATGAGAAATTTATAAAAGAGTTATATTGAAATAGGACTTTATTTGGATTTAAAAAAAAAATTATTTTCTTGCCTAGTTATTTTTTTCTTTTGCAGAAAATAAGTTTTGTAAAGATGCAACACAAAATAGTACGTGTACTTTTTAGTTGGCCGAATGGAATCTTTTACCGCATACTACACGAAATTTAGCGCATAAGCTAACAAAAATATATATAGTTTAATTTTCAGTAAGTAAAAAAAAAAAAAAAAAAACGTTTTTTTGAAATTATTTTATACATGTGCAACGTACTTTATTATATCAATTAATTATTTAGTTTTACAAAAACAACTGCTATTCAATTTTTCAGTTTCAAGAGAACATAATGATTTCAAATTACCTTTTTTAGCTCGTTTCACATTGATTTAAATGTAAGTAA